TTCTTAGATTGCGAGGCTCACAAATTGATAGTTGGAATCCAACACTGTTGGCACCTGAAGTGACTTTAAGACCACATGTTTTCTGAAAAGCAATTTTCTTAACTATAATAAGCTATATATATATATATATATACACACATACATACATATAACACAAGATTCAAATTAACTTTCAGGTCTGAAAGGGCAATTTTATTAGGAGCGTTCTTTAAGGGACAAAATTTGGAGCAATGGGGTTCTCTGTCTTCATTGTGGAGAGACGATTTCAAACTTGTTTGATATTATTTTCCTTCTTTTTCTCTCTTCAGTTTTCATCATGCATGGGTTACCCACAACGTGATCTCTTTATATTATCTGTCAGTTTCAGATTTTGATCCTCCAAATCAATATGTTTCATTTTATTGGGGGAAGAAAGGTACACATGGCACTAAGTGCTACATCTTTATTTCCCTTTGCCAAGTGAGAATACGTGCTACTTTTGAGCTTCACTTTGCTCTGCAATAAAATCCATGTCAAGTATAATAGGCTGGAAATATATATATATATATATATATATATATATATGTATGTATGTATATGTGTGTGTACAAAAAGCTAATAATGGTGTTGACAGATGAGTAAAATGGCACCAATTAGGTGTATGAAATAAAGCACATAATATGAGCTTCACTTGATGTTAGATATTTGATCATATTGATATATGTTCACCCTCATTATGATAACAAAGATCAATCGTTTTCTTATTATTTGCTATTGAATGAGACACAAAAGAGGAATCTGGAAGCACTGATGTTTGGTCATGTCGTTAATTTTATGCTAATCTCTAACTTCATTATATAATCGCCTTTTTTTACAATGAAAAAAGGTTGATTTTCTGATCGATGATTGATTTTTTTGTCCTAATAGAAATCTTTTTGAGGTGTTGTTTAAATAAAAGAGGGCCTTCTCCTTTGATGTACTTGTGATTAACATTTGTGGCATTACTGGAAATAGCTTTCCCTTATTATCTTATCCTCGCCAACTTTCTAATAAAATTAAATTGACCGTTTGTGATATCCTTTTTCTTTCCTTTCTTTTTGCTTGGTGCAACGATCAAGTGCTACTTTTTTTCTTTGAAGTTCTGCTTTTTGGTTCTGCTCAACATTATTAATGAGAAGGGAAAAGTGTTACTTTTTATCACCATTTTTTTCCCCTTAATAACTTGGGATGGAGGACTTTGCAATCTACAGTACGAGTCAGACGTGAAATTTTAACAATTAAAGCATCGTTTATTTCACCGATTCGAGTTTTCAATTTTAAATTTATACAGTTAAAAGCTCTCAAAAAATGTCGCTTCTAATTTTTTCTGCTACAGTTAAAAACTCTCAGAAAATATCATATCTCAACTCGAATCCGTGAAGCGAACAAGGCTTAAAAGATTAACAACTAAGACCATGTAACATTGCATTATGATTAATAGTTTCTAAAGTCAGACATGTAAATTTATGATAGGTTAAAAAAGTGTGATACTATTGATCACTTATATATGGTAATATGCATAGCATTACTGATGAGAAAAACAAGAAAGCTAATTCAATATATGAAGCTTTTGAAATAGTTTCCGTTTATCAGGAAAAAAAAAAAGCATCTCCATGTGATTATGTCCATCACATTTAAAATAAGTACAAGCCACTAGAAAATCTTTAAGAACGTATTAGAAGTTTTGATTGATGGGATTTGGAATTTTAAGTTCGTTCAGTCGTTTCTTCTAATTTTAATGACATCTATCTCAAAGATAAAGCAAAGCTGAAAAACCCAACTTAGATGTTTAGCTTTTAATTTGATGATCTCTTTTTATTTGCCTTTCTAGCCCATAAAAACTTGAAAGATGTCCCCCACTATCGGAGAAAAGGTTACAAGATTAGATAAAGATTGTTTTCATGTCTAGTTATTGAAACTAAGTTTGATTTGATAGTTTTAAAAATATTTCTGTTTTTTCTTGTTTGTGAAACTCTGGAAATAGGAAAGAATAATTATTGTTTTCTTCTGTAGCGAGTGACTTGGAAAATGGTAGGGACGTGAATATTGAGCCCTACGGCTATGTATTTTCCATGCATTAGACAAGTAAATTAACACTATAGATTTGACTATAGATTTGACTAACCCTTTATAGTAGACCACATTTATGTTATCTGAATTAAATGATGATCAGACAACTAAATTAATTTGATAATTAAAACTTATGCTTAAGAGAGATATAAAAAGAAAGTTCGTAATTGGGAAATCATAATTGCTAGTGTTTCATGTTTTTGTAAACTCCTGTGTAAACCATAGTTATCAAAGAAAAGTTATCATGTGGGATCATCACGCTTCTATCTTTATCTAAACTCAGATGAAAGTTGTCTGAGGCAATGATTATGGCTCAGCATCTCCATGTGAAAGCACAATACTTGCAACCAAATCATCTTTTTAATTTTTTTCCAACAACTATATTTCGGCTCTTCCCTTATTGTGTTTATGTTAAGCCTAGACATAATTTATATATATATATATATATTATGATTTGATCCATGAACTTAGCCACCTCAAATATGAAACCATTTCTTTCACTTTGAACGAATTTTTTAACAAATTAATTATGATTCCCTGTACTTATTCCAAAGCTAGCTCGTGCAAAATCTTTTAAGTTTGAGAACACAATCGAAATAGTGATGGACTCTTATTTAAAATTTAAGGTGGAAAAGATTTAAAATTACTACGAGCAGTTAGACTACACCCGTAATCACAATTAGTGATGGATATTCTACTCGTAACATATATAGAGTAAGGAAAATTGCCATTACATGACGGATAATTTCTACACATTTAGACAAGTGCATGCAACTTATAACTCGTTATAACTCAGTTCTATAAATAAATTTGAGCATCATACGTACGTTCCATATACATATAGTTTTTATTTTTTATTTTTTTATTTTTTATAATTTGACAGGTTTTGCACATGAAAACTTCAGGTAGTTGGAATCAGACACGAAGACGACGAAGATTATTGGCTCTTTGTCTCTCACTTTTGATTGTAGATCCCCTCTAGCTACATGACCATGGACAAACTTTCTCATTATTACATCTCGTTCCCGAATATACGAATGCCATCATCAAAAGTTCCTCAAGAATTAAGGGTACTTAGTCCAAGTTACAACCAATCTAGCTAAAACTTAAGAAATTTAAGGGTTATTTTTTTGAGTGAAAAACTCAAAAAAATGCAACTCGAGTTATAACTTTATTTGAGTTGATGTTCTTTTAACTCAAATTTAAACTCGAGTTTAAACTCGAGTTTAGGACTAAAACTCGAGTTCAAATTTTCCCTTCAACTCGAGTTCAGAAACTCAAACTCAAATTAATGAACAGTATTTTTTCTATTCTTAAAAATGTTATAACTTTTTCGTTTTAATTCTGATTGAGATGATTTTTGTTCTATGCGTTGACAACGAAAAGACGAATGAAACCCGACCCATATACCATATTAAAATTTTTCATCAGCATTGAGTTTTTATTAAAATACTATATAAATACAAATTCAAGTTTTGACTCACTCAAATACAAACTCAAAAAGATTCTTATCTCAAACCATAACTCAAATGTACACAACCAAACACAAACTCAAGTTACAAGTTCAACTCAAGTTATAACTCAAATTCAACTCAAGAATTATACTTAAGTTAAACTCTAAAAAAATAAACCCTTATACGTTAAGATGTAAATATTGCTGATTTAATTTATTAATGTCCACGTTAAAAATATATAGTGCACATAATTGATCCCATTCATACATCAGATTTTTACAATAAGGTGATGTTTGGTAGAGGGATTCGTTTCATGATTTGAATCATGATTCGTTGTTCGCTACAGTATTTTTTCTCACAAAAAATACACGTAAATCAAAAATAATTCTAATCACATGATTCTAATTCATGAACCAAACGGACTCAATTAAAAAATATCCGTTACCGTGCAGATTTTTTGGGAACTACCTGGATCAAAATAGTTATGTGTGGGACATTGCAGAAAGTCAAAACCCCTTTCTAAGATAATTTTTTCAATTATCACACATTGGAAAAAAAAAAACAAATAAAATAAACCAGCGGACAATCTTGAACTCCAAATCGATCTCTAAAGAAATCAAACAAAGGATCAGAAGGGCCAGCTAGCAACTTGCAAGCATGATAATTACCGAGGGAGCAGCCAAGGGTTAATGCCCTGATACATAACAGTATTGGAAAACGCAAAAGTGTCAGTTTTGCCTTGGACATTTCTATGCTCTCATTCAAAATGCATTAAAACTATCTTCTTCACCAATTATAAAATTTGAACAAAAAAGAAAAATCTAAAAAAATAAATGTAAAAAATCTCTCTTCACTGTTTACAATGCTTCTCTCTAATAATTACGAACCCAAATCCCAATGCCTATCTTTCCCCGCCAACACGGCTTTGCATCACGAAACCTTGCCACGATTTTGACTGGTCCTAAATGAGCCAGTCCTGGTTGAAAAAGACCAACCCTCGGGATTTTGCCTTGGGCTCTTCTCCAAAGTGAAGTTTTCCGATGCAAGTGAATCCAATCAAAATTTTGCCATTGTCATGGTTCATGGATATAGACACATTATTTTTGAACTATTAAAAATTTGCCATTTCCATGTTCCAGATAGAAATGAAGGGTCACATTTTTTGTACTAGAATAATGCACATACATTACACTTGGTTAAAAGAGCCAACAAAAGGGTCCCTCAAAAAAAAAAAAAAAAAAAAGGAAATACATGAAAAGTAAATAAACAAACAAAAGCCCAATAACTAACTATGAGGCTGTTACTGATTCTATCAAAAGAGTTTCCTTTAAATTATGAGCATGAAGACAGCTTACAACTTACCCATATAAAAAAAAAAAAAAAAAAAAAAAAAAAAAAAAAAAAAACCCAAAAAAAAAAAAAAAAAAAAAAAAAAAAAAAAAAAAAAAAACACCATCTTCATCCCTAAAACATTTTATATTTCCATGCAGTGAACGTAATTTTTCTTACCCTACTACAAAATACACAATGAAAACGCTTATAGGCACCTGAATTTACCACACACTAATAGAATGTGAGCTCCATTTTTTGAGACTCACTTTCTATTACCGTGTGATCCACGTAACCACTAATGTTCTGTAACATTGTTGATACATAATACGCGTCACTCCGAGGACAATATTTCCATTTTAACCATGCAGTAGCCTCACGTGCCAAAAAAGCCAGTCACGTGCATCACCTAATAAAACCTAATAGTAGTCACGTGACTTGTCGTAACCGTAATGCAGCTTGGTAGGGCCCGCAGACCTAACGGAAAAAACTCCATCCCAAATCTCAGTAAAAGCTCTGACGATTATCCCATGGTGGGACGCCGAGTTTAGCTGAAGAAAGCAGTTGAGAAGCTCCCTCAGATCGTCCTTGGAGTATATCTCGTTCTCCAGAATCATCTGAAGCATCGAATGCCGGAAATCGAGATATGGGTCGTCGGAGTCCTTCTCCACCGCCACTCCCTCGCCGCCAACTCTGCCGAACCCCCTGCCGACGCCGCCGGCGTTTCTCTTCGAGTCCTTCTTCTTCTTCTTCGCGGCAGTGGAAGGGGTAGAACCGACGTCGTTTGAAGAGAACGTTAACGGCGTGGCGGATGTTGTCGTTGTTGGGGTTGTGGTTGTGGTGTCGTCGAAGTCGTTTGTCCATGAGCTGGAAGAGGAGTTGTTGGTGTAGTATTCGTGTCGCTTGTGGGGTTTTCGGGGCGTTTTGAGTTTGGGTTTTGGGTGGAAGAGGAGGGAGAGCTTTGGTCTGCTGCAGCTGCAGCCCAGGTTGACCGAGACTGTGTTCAGGTGGAGCTTCTTTCTGGCTGTGCTCGTCATTTTTAGAGAGAGAAAAAATCAGAGAGCTAGAGAGAGAGAGAGAGGTTTTTTTTTTTTTTTTTTTTTTTTTTTTTTCCCAGAGTGCTTGAGGAAGTGAGTGGGGCGTTTTGACTAAAATTGGAAGAGGAAGTTTCATCTTATAGGGTCTGAAAGTAAAGCCCAAAGGCCAGTCATGGATCCCATACAATAAGCTAACCTGACACGGCTGTTGGTCTTGGATAAGTGACGGGTTGATCTGAACCGCACAATTTTTTAAGCATGTGGGTCCTACGGCTGTGGTTGTTGGTGATGTTTATATCATCCATCACGGTAGGGATCAGGGATGATGAAAATGGGAAATTAATACATGAAAATGGGAAATTAATGCAAGAAAAAGGGTTGTGGCTAAAAATATGATTTGTTTAATGGGTTAAAAAAATTATATTGGGAAACTTTGGCAACTGGGTGGAGGTGAAGAATGATCTAGGGATCAGAAAAAATATTGGATTTTCTCTTGATTCTATTCCGACGTTTCAGATCCAAACTTTGTGATGTGATAGACCCGTGCATCAGATAAAACAATAGAGAAGTTTTCTCACATTTGTCATGTACAAATATAGAATACTATATTACAATACCAGTTTTGGTAAATGCGATGTACGTATTTAATTATAATTGAGGTTTTAATAATGTTAAATACAGACAACAACAAGCAGGAAAAAGATAGACGACAATTTTTTATTAGAGATAAAAAAAATAGTATATATTAGGTGGTAATATGCTTGTCCTAATAAAGTTTACACATCTAACTCCGCCATAAAATATAGAGTTTGAATCTCCACACTTTTTTTTAAAAAAAAAAAGTATATATTAATAGTAGTTTAAGTGAAAAAGTTATGTTTAATCATAAGAATATATGAAACATTCTAAATTTAAGATAACAAAGTAAAAAATAAATAAATAAAGAAGTTAAAACTTAAAAATGAAAGAAAAAAAAGTAGAACACCTAAAAATTTCCCGTTTTGAACTACTCTGGGATGAACATAGATTATGAAAAAGAAAAAAAATAAAAGAGTTAAAAGAAAAGTTCAAAAAAAAAAAAAGCAAAGAAGAGAGAGAGGGGAAAGGAAAAAAAAGAGGCATCATAATGGTGCATAAATGACTACAAAAAAATAGCGGTATATTTTTCGCCCACTCTTTTATATTTTCTGCATTTACTATTGAGATAAAATAGGATTTAATATCATTATTACGATAAAAAGTGAAAAAAAGATAACATATTAAGGTCTATAATCTACGTTATTTACTAACGCATATTGTTTCTTTTATTTCAAGTGTTTGAAAAGAAAAAATAATAAAAAAATAGAGAAACAAAAAGAGGTGAAAGAAACAAAGAGAAAAAAAAAAAAAAAAGAATAGTAGACGACGTGTTCTATAAGACGAGTTAAAAAAAATAATAGAAGCCAAAATGATGCGTCTAGAACGACTAAAAAAAGAATAGTGGAGTTAGAATGACCATTTTATATATGTAAGATAATAGAAGTTTAAAAGCCTGTGAAAAGAAAATTTAAGTGGAGGCATGTTTTTAGAAATTTATTTTAGCAGGACAATTAAAAAGAAATTTATGAGAATAATTTTTAATATAATAATATTTTAGAGCACTACTTGAAAGAAATATCTAAGTAAGTTAACATTTAAAAAAATAATTAAGATAAATGAAAGAAAAAAGTTAAAGAGAAGGATAAAAACGAAAAATATAAAATTTTGAGAAGAAAAGAAAAAAGAAAAAAAAAAAGACCTGGAAAGGAAAAAAAAAACCATGAATAGGAAGAGGGATAAAAAAAAAAAAAAAAAAAAAAACCAAGAAAAAAAAAAAAAAAAAAAAAAAAAAAAGAACCAAAACGTTGCGTTTTAGACGACCAAAAGTGTGCAAGAGGCTAAACTTCTACTCTTTTGTAATATAGTGAAATATTAAAAAAATATAAGTTAAAATGAGTTGATGTTCAGAGTGTTAAAAATAAGGAGAAAGGGTAGAAACAGTAAAAAGTATGGTATTAAATTGATATTATAGTGTGGGAAAGAGGAAGGAATAGTAAGTTTTAATTAATAGAGAATGAAAAGAAAAAAGAAAAAAAAAAGAAAAACAAACAGACCAAGCACCAAAACACACCGTTTTGGACGACGAAAAAAACTAGAGGAACTCATATGCACTCTTTTATATATGTAGGATATACAATGTGAAAATTACATTTTAATGCACAACAATAATCTGTGGGCTAGCTAAGCGAATCTTGGGGGAGAAATAATTGGTGGGTAAATTTATAGAATTGATAATATTAACTAGGTTAAGCTTACTTCTCAAAAAATAAAAATCAAAAATCAAAATCAAAATCCTAGGTTAAGCTTAAAAACTCAGAAGAGTTAAGAGACACTTCTGAACAGATAAATGTACTTCGCTTTTGACCAAAATTGAACATTTTCGACTTTTGCACCTAAGTACTAACTCCCCAAGGTAATATATATATATATATATATATATGCATATAATATATATAAGCAAAGTCTTAAAGATACCGTACAGTCCACAGATGTAATTTTTTTTTTTTTTCATATTTTCATGTAACATCGTTCATATGTGTGTAACATTCAGCTTGTTAAAGTTATTACTTAAATTTGTATGTGCGGAACTATATTTTTTAAATACCACACTCAACTAAACTAAGTGTCCGACACACAAACAAACGATGTTACAAGAGAATATGAAAAAAATTACATTTATCGGACTGATCCAAGTGCCCTATATATATAAATATATTTTCAGTTTTATACACGTAGTAAATGATAAGTTCATATAGACATGTAATTTATCCGCATCATCATTCTATTCTACGGTTGTTCCACTCACAGGTTACTATGTCCGTGACATTGGTTTTTCTTACATTGGTGGGGAAACAAGCATACGAATAGAATATAAACGCAGAAATACAAACAAATTGGAGTTGTAAATAAAATACATTATAAACGAGTTGGTAACGTCACGAGACAAAGGAAGCCAAATGAACTCCTTTGTTCTCTGTGGGTTTTGGCAGTTTCATACATTACAATGGCAGTCATCATCAAAACTGTCAAAAAAGTATCTCCACTAATTAACTGTGTTACTGAAAGTTTTTAAACAAGCGCATATAATATATCACATTGTTATGATAAGTAGACCCCACTTATCCCATTACTATTAGTATTGTGCTAAACAGCATTAATCCTATTTAGCACCTTTATATCAATTGATACTTTTAAGTTGCAAATCTTTAAGAGTAAAATAAATCCGAACCCCACATCATTTAAATATAAAAATAAACATAAACTTATATATCAGATCACCCCAATTAACCAATTGACCTTTTAAGTTGGAAACTCAAGTGTTTGAAAAAGTCTAATTCCCACAAAACTCGAAAAAATAGTGAGTTAAAACCTCTTTCAATTATTAGTGGATTGATCTTGATATTTGATTATTGATCAAGCTTGCCACATGGTGAGCAACCCAGGTAGAGCCAGCCTCAGTGCAACAGAAAGCGTGGGTGTGGCCCTCTCTTTCTATTGATAGAGCAATATCTGGGACCTGCCTGGAAATCTGTGGCAAGAAGAACGTACCAGAAAAGCACAACTAGTTAAACTGCTAAATGCCAAAAGCAAAAGTGGGAGCAAAGGCATGAAGGAAAGCGAATATCTTCACTTACTAAGTACATGGAATGAAAGTGAACCACAATGACTATTCTGTATAGCAATCATTATAATTAATAACCATATGTGTGTTATCCACCAAAATCATGATTTTATATGTAAGTAATGCTAGCACCATTCATCATTCTACATAGCTAGTTTGTGATTGCTTTTGGAGTTCATAAAGGTACTTTGCTTATAACACGACGCAAGTAGTGTGTTTCGCAAGACTCTGCACAAACACAAGTATAGTTTTTATAGTTATTTCAATAAGCTAGATTTTTTTGCTTCGAGTAGTGCTTTGGAAAGCATAACAATCCAAAACCCGAAAACTGGGCCAAAACAGCCGTGGACCGAAGGAGGTCCCATGTTATGACAACCCAATTCATCCAATGGCTTTGAGCGGGTAGTGGCCATCGCTAATACTTTTCCATCTGGAATCTATAGAATGTTCTAGTTAGATTTGACATCTGCTAAGATCATTATGTTTTTTTATTAGTCACTTGTGTAGCTGTGCCATTTCAATCAGTTTTATTATCTGTCACAAATAGTGGTTATACCATACTCGGATGGAACTGATGTCTGAAAGTCATAACAGAATATGACATAAACCAAAATCATTAAGGTAATCAAACCTCACTAATACTAGGTAATTAAGGAAACCAAACCATCTTGGCAAAATATTTTGATAACCCCAAGAACTTAAAAGAGTTCATTACTTACTACCATTTGAGTATCAAAGACACCGAAAACACGCTTACAACTCCCACTCTTCAAAGGGGGGACAAAAGCCCTTAGATACTATCGTGAATTATTACATAGAAATGAATGCTTCTTCTTAGTAAGATCTAGGCAAAAAAACTCAAGTGTCTAGTCTTGAAACATGAGTTCTAATCAACTTTATCAATGTAAGGCGGTTTTATGTATTTTGATGCTGGATGCCAAAAGCCCAGTAAAAAACACTAGACTTCTAAAGAAAATAACAATTACCAGCTTACCTCTTCAACCATTTGCAGTGGTCCCCAGTGATCATCAATACCAAACAAATATGCAATTTTGTTCTGTTTCTCTCTCATAAATGCCCAATCTGGAGTTTCTGAAAGCTAACATAGGATGCCAATAGTCAGCAAATGGCTGTTTTAGTTTAGTTATCCTACTTGACTTAGAAGACATAGCTAAGTGGTACCGTGGAAATACAGATAATAATGGACTGCAAAAACTTATATTTTCTATGGAGATAGACCCTTGAGACGAAGGGATTTAAGTTAAGTAGAACGAAGACTGAGTACATGTATTGTAGGTTCAGTAATTTGAGAGATTAGAGTGATGGAATTTCTTTGGATGGTATGGTGATTGGGGCTTCTAGGAAATTTGGGTACCTTGGGTCCATAGTGCAGTGTGAAGGGAATATAGATGAGGATATTGGACATAGGATTAAGGCATGATGGGTTAAGTGGAAGAATGCCACGGGAGTTTTATGTGATGATAAGATGCCTATTAAGTTTAAAGGAAAATTCTATAGGACAGTAATTCGCCCAGCTATGTTATATGGTAGTGAATGTTGGGCTATCAAGAGACAACAAATATACAAGATGAGTGGTGGAGATGCGTATGTTAAGATGGATGAACGGCCATACGAGAATGGATTGCATACGGAATGAAGTTATTCGAAGTAAAGTAGGTGTAACACCAATAGAAGATAAGGAGCGGGAAAACCCTTTGAGGTGGTACGGTGTTAGGATCCTAGCTCAGAAAATCAGCCAAACACCAATACCACACTCACACACACCAGAAACAGCAAGAAAATGAGAATAATTGGAGGGAATTTTATTAATCTAATCAGCCAAGAACACCAAATTACACTGAAATGTAAAGGATAGAATGAAGAATTCGAGTACTCCGGGAACTCCTCATTTAGTGGTATTCGAGAGACCACCGCTCTCCCTAATCTCAGTTTCTCAAAACTCTCAAAATCACAACATACCTCTAGTGAGCTACTAAGCCCTTTATTTATACTAATTCCTACTAACTATACCAGCCCACTAACCAAACAAGTTCCCAAGTCATTAACGGATCCTAACATACGGGCATGTACAACGTAGATCGTTAGATGCACCTATTCGTGCTTGGGAGAACATCCAAATACCTAGTACTAGGAGAGCAAGGGGTAGACCAAGAATTACTTGGGCTGACGTAGTTAGGCACGCCTTTCAAGATCTAGGGCTTCAGGAGGGTCTCGTGTTTAATAGAGCAGACTGGAAATAAGAAATCCATATAGCCGACCCCAATTAATTTGGGATTAAGCCTTGTATTTGTTGTTGTTGTTGTTGTTAAAAAGCAAAGTAGACGTATATTTCAATTTTCGACTATTACCGAAAAAAGAATCTATAAAAAATTTGCATCTTCGTCCCAAAATAAATGGACGTTGTTGCATTATTCTCCTAGTTTATTTGGCAAAATTGAAAGATAGCAGAGCAAGAGTGTTTAGCATATATAATATATACAGATCTCATTGATTTACCACCTAAAGAAAAAGAAAATATAACATCAGTTAAAAAGACAACCGCACAGTCTACAGATTATAAACCAAAGACCTGACATTTTATTCAAATGGTGTAGAAAATGCACCGTCTATAATAAATTTCCCGGAACGATATTTTTCATGAATATCTTGCAAAAAGATAAATCTTACCTTTTCAAATTCTGTCATTGCCATGAAGAGAATGTTTCGCACTGTATGATACTGCCAGTTTCAAAGACAAAATATTTAATCACACGCATGCAGAGAATAAGAACTTTTTGACATAACATGTAGAAAATCCTCTCTAAGGGGGAAAGGTTCAACTTTGCACATAAAAAACAAAAGGAAAAAAAAAAAAAAGGATGACCGTAGCAATCTAGGAGAAGATAAACCTTACCTTTCCCAAGTGAGAGCAACCAGCCTCGACTGCACTATTGGACCATGTCTTACTGAGAGATTTACGCAGAATTACCCGCAAAGCCCATAACGGCAACAATCCCACTAATGCTGCGATTGAACTGAGGGCCACACATACAATTGGAGACCTGAAACACATTATTTTGTGTAATTAATCTCTGTGATGCCTTAACATTCGATCGTCAAACTCACAACTGCCCCTACATTGAACAACTAACATGTGGAATAGACAGAAAAGAGTGTGAAACAAAAACCAGAAAAAAGAAAAGTTCGTATAGAAAACATAATCTATCTTGACATCTTACTGTGGTTTACATGATGTAGAAAATATGACTTTCAACACATAGTAGATTATGGGAAATGATGATAGTCATAATGGGGGTTAAAAGAGGCCATACTTAGCAATCTTCCCAATGATAGACTGATTCCTGGATTGTGGGTTTAACGCCAAAAAGGGATACAATCCTATGCAATATAACACCTAGAATGCCCAAAGAGAAGTCAAGAAACTGGACATCCATGTCTAGAAACATATGAGAAGCAGCGAGATTGAATCGTTAAAGGGGGAAAAAAATCGTCAGAAAAAAGTTTATTGAGAAGCACAAAGCAGTCATTACCTTCTCGGGAATTCCCTTGAATGTTTCAATAGATATGTATGCGCCAATAGAGTGCCCAACCTACACCAAGAAAGTTCTTGTCAGTTTTTAAACACTTTCAGCATTCAGAAATCAATTCTCCACAGATCTCAAACTACTTTCCTGAAATGAGGGGGAAAAAAAAAAGCTGTCCTGAAAGTCTTAAATAATTACAGCTTAGGTTTGTGATAAGAGCAATATATCAAATCCCAACATCAATACAACTTACTACAGAGACATACAGTATACTGCACATAGTTCAAGCTGAAAATAACTTGCTCGTAAGCATCAATCTTAGGACTCATGAGGAATTTCAAACTTTTATTTGGATACCTAACATGATGTTAAAAGAATAATGCACTCTACCTTTCTTCCCTGCGAAACAAAGCATTTCGGAGGTCAACAACACCCGAACATAAGAAAAAGATGCATGTGTTCTTACCAGTACTATAGGTACTTCATTATTTTGCAATTCCTGTTTGATGAGTTCCACCTGAAAACGCATGAATTTAGATGGAGATTTCATGCAAACAGTATGCTCAGAACGCATAAGCAAGCAGAAAGTCACCTTATGATCAATTTGTTCTTGCAGTGAAAACAACCTTCCATGCTCCCAATTCTGACAAGAAGAGAATTTCATATAAGAATACCTTGTGCCAAAAAGACTCAAACAATTATTTAAGAGAAAAAAAAAAAAAAAAAAAAAAAGTAATAATTTTATTGCATTGGATGCTTTCTCCGCAAAATGAATCAATACAATTTGTCCAACACCAATAAACAATTTTATTTTCATGGGAAATACCGACTACATTGTTGCTCAACTAGAAAGAACGTTGCTTTAAGTTTTATAGGATATATACCAAGCAGCTTATCTTTCATAATTAACTTTGTTTGCTTGTGACAATTCGACGGATTGTCCCAATTACAACTGATGTAGGTGATCTTCAGTGATGACTCATTTATGCATTTTGGTGTTTCTGTAGTTCTGGCTTAATAAGTGCTGCTCTTTTGTTATTGTTTGAGAATAAGAGTTGTTGAAATACTCGGCTAGGAATCAGAGATCCTAGAATACTTGACAAAGTAGAATAGGAATAAAGAGATTTGGAATCATTTCCAATATCTCTATTAGTTAGTTTCCTTTTCTGTTTTGATTAGTTTCCTGTTTTTACTGATTTGTTTCCTTTTTCCCTTTGTTCCCCGATTCTGTTAGATTAATAATTGATGTAATTAGCATTAGGTAACCGGGGTCTTGATGTATAAAAGGGGGCTGTATATACGTTGTTGATCAATGAGAAAATTATCATTCCACCTCCTTTGATCCTGAAATAGATGACAAAGTACGGCATGACAATGAGCCGCCAAAGTCAATCTTCATCAAAAGTTACCTCTTCCTCTGAAGCTATTACCGCCAGCAACAATGGAGTCTCCGATGGCCTTATTCAGTCCATTACTGGGCATAAACTCAATGGCCAAAACTACCCCCTTTGGCCACAATCTGTTATGATGTTTGTCTGTGGAAAAGGGAAAGAATATTATCTTTCTGGAGCAGCAATACCGCTGGAAGAAAAAGATCCTAAGTATAAACTTTGGAAGGCCGAGAACAACATGGTCATGTCTTGGCTTATCAATTCCATGACCAACGAGATTGGGGAGAATGTCCTACTGTATGGGACCACCAAAGAAATCTGGGACGCAGCCTAAGAGACATACTCCAATTTCGACAACTCATCCGAGTTGTTTGCCGTGGAGAGCATTCTCCATGATCTGCATCAAGGTGATCTTTCTGTTTCTCAATATTTTAACACCCTCACAAGGAATTGGCAGCAGTTGGACATGTTTGAAGAACACGATTAGAAGTGCCCTGAAGATGGAATGAAATACAAGAAGATCGTTGAGAAGAAAAGACTCATAAGTTTTTGTTGGGACTCAACAAGGAACTTGATGAAGTTCGAGGAAGAATCATGGGGATGAAACCACTGCCAAGTGTTCGAGAAGCTTTTTCAGAAGTCTGCATGGAAGAGAGTCAAAAGAGGGTGATGATGGGACCTACAGTCACTGCTCACAACCCTGAAGCATCCACCCTTATTGCTCAGGGGCCCCAACACCAAACTGGAGATTCAAAAGCAAGGAGAGGACGACCTTGGTGTGATCATTGCCATAAACTCGGTCACACAAAGGAGAATTGTTGGAAAATTCATGGAAAACCAGTAGATTGGAAACCAGGCAGGCCAAACAACAGAGAAGGACGCAGCAATCTTGTCTCCAGCGAAGCAAACCCTACACAAACCAAGCAGAATCTGTTCAACAAGGAGCAAATGGAGTTTCTACAGAAACTAATCAACCCGCACCATGCCAATACCTCAGAAGTTGGAACTGGGTCACTGGCTCATAAAGGTAATCTCCTAAATGCCCTCAATACAACTCGAGAGATGTACAGACCGTGGATTGTGGATTCAGGAGCCTCCAACCATATGACTGGAGACGCAAGATTGTTCACCACTTATAGTCCTTGTCATGAGAACTTTACCGTCAGGATTGCAGATGGATCACGCTTAAGAGTCATAGGGAAAGGATCCATAGTTGTATCAAAGGATCTTACCTTAAACTCCGTATTTTTAGTCCCAAATTTGGATTGCAATCTCCTATCAATTAGTAAACTCACTCATGAGCATAATTGTGTTGCTAAATTTTTTTAAAACTCTTGTGAATTTCAGGACCTGGATTCGGGGAAGATGATTGGCAATGCTAAGATGTGCTCGAGACTCTATATCCTCAAGAATGACCATCCACGAAAACAACAACCTCACATGGCAGATTCAGACATGCCAAATCAACAACTTACAAAATTTTCTTGTTCTGTTTTTCAATCCAATAATGATAGTGCAATCATGTTATGGCACTATAGGTTAGGCTATCCAAACTTTGTTTACCTTCAAAAACTTGTTCCTTCATTATTCATCAATAAAAGTCCAAAAGATTTTCGGTGTGATATTTGTCAATTTACTAAACACACTCGTAGTTCATACTCAATTCAACCATACCGAAAATCCAATCCATTTTCAATTATTCACAGCGATGTATGGGGACCATCTCGAATTAAAAACATCACTGGAACAAGATGGTTTGTGTTGTTTGTTGATGATCATACTAGGATTACTTAAGTATTTCTCATGAAAGAAAAATCAGAAGTTGAACAAATCTTCAAGAATTTCAATACCATGGTTCAAACCCAATTGCACACCAAAATACAAATATTCCGCACCAATAATGCCAGGGAATACTTCAAACATTTTCTCGTGGAATACCTACAAAATCAAGGTATTATACACTAAAGTTCTTGTGTTGATACCCCTCAACAAAATGGGGTGGCAGAAAAAAAAAATAGACATATCTTTGAGGTTGCTAGATCACATGTTCTCCACCCACGTTCCAAAACATTTTTGGGGGGAAGCCGTACTCACAGCAACCTATCTCATAAACCGAATGCCCTCACGAGTCCTAAACTTTTAAACCCCATGTCAGTCTCTCCTTCTTTCATACCAAAAGACCAGACTTCTCTCAACCATTCCACTCAAAGTATTTGGTTGCTCTGCGTTTGTTCACATCCATCAACAACACAGAAGCAAGCTTGATCCTAAATCCCTCAAATGTATTTTTCTCGGTTCAAAAAGGGTACAAATGCTATTCCCCAGTCACAAAGTGATTCTACACCTCAATGGATGTTACATTCTTTGAAAATACACCATACTTTCCCAAATCAGCTATTTAGGGGGAGAATGTACAAGAATACCAGCTTTGGGAGATAGATGTTCCATCATCACCATCACCGAGTCATCCTCCAAACCCAGTCACTAGTCCGGCCATCACCACCACTATGTCTGTCCCAATCTTCTAATCCGAAACCACTACTTCGGATGTCCTCCTGACCTCAACTCCTATCCAACGTCCGAAGCCTGCCAACAATGGTGAGTTCATTGTATATTCCCGGAGGAAGAAGACCCAAGAGGATGTAGAGCAACAAGCACCTTCTGAGCAGCGTCAAGAGGCTAAACTGGATCCAAGAGTTCTTGAGACTCTATCACCAGGTAACACTAGCTCTGTGAACATTATAGATGAGCCTATTGTTGATGATCTTGATTGTCCAATTGCGTTAAGGAAAGGGGTGCGATCTTGTACTAGTCATCCAATTCACAATTTTGTATCTTATAAAAAATTGTTGCCGAACTATCAAACTTTTGTGGCAGAATTAGACAAGGTGCAGGTTCCTAACTCCATCCACGAAGCCATGTCTATTCCAGAATGGAAAATAGCAGTATGGGAAGAAATGAAGGCTCTAAAGAAGAATGGAACTTGGGAAATTTCGGAGCTACGAAATGGGAAGTGTACAATGGGGATATTCACTGTCAAATACAAGGCTAATGGGAATGTGGACAGGTTTAAAGCACGGCTAGTTACTAAAGGGTTCACTCAAGCATATGGCATTGATTATCAAGAGACCTTTGCTCCAGTAGCCAAATTGAATACTATTCGGGTATTACTTTCATTGGCTGCAAATCTTGATTGGCCTTTCTACTAACTTGATGTTAAGAATGCTTTCCTTAATGGGGACCTTATAAAAGAAGTTTACATGGATATCCCTCCTAGTTTTGAGTCTCACGCTACTATAAATAAGGTATGCAAGCTCAAGAAGTCTCTTTATGGATTAAAACAATCTCCCAGAGCATGGTTTGACAGGTTCAATAAGACAGTAAGGAAGTATGGATACTCACAATGCCAGGCAGATCACACACTCTTTGTTAAGCACTCATCGGAAGGGAATATAGCAATTCTCATTGTATATGTGGATGGCATCATTCTCACGGGTGACAATGAAGATGAATTGTTCAAACTCAAGACACTACTTGCCAAGGAATTCGAAACCAAGGATCTTGGAAACCTAAAATATTTCCTTGGAATGAAAGTAGCTCGGTCAAGAAATGGAATTTCAGTGTCACCGGAAATATGTGTTGGATCTTCTTAGGGAGACAGACATGCTTGGGTGTAAGCCAGCTGAAATGCCTCTAGACTCAGGTACCAAACTTGGAGCAAAGGAAGGAAGTACTCCAGTGGAAAAGGGAGATACCAGAGACTTGTAGGGAAGCTGATTTATCTCTCCCACACTAGACCAGACATTGGGTTTGCAGTTAGTGTGGTAAGCCAATTCATGAATGAACCTACTGAGGAACACATAGAGGCTGTCAATCGAATATTGAGATATCTAAAAATGACACCATGCAGGGGATTATACTTTGGAATAACAACAAGAAGAGACATTGAAGTGTTTGCAGATGCTAATTGGGCTGGATCTATAACTGATCGGAGGTCGACCTCAGGTTGTTGCACATATTTGTGGGGAAACCTAGTTACTTGGCATAGTAAGAAACAACCAGTAGTGTCACAGAGTAGTGCAGAAGCAGAATTCAGAGCACTGGCACTTGGCATTTGTGAAGGTTTATGGCTAGACAGGTTACTCAATGAATTAAGGATTTGTATCCCATCTCCTATGAAGGTGTTTTGTGACAATCAATCAGCTATCAATATAGATAAAAAGCATGTTCATCATGATCGAAAATAACATGCGGAGATAGATCGACACTTCATTAAAGAGAAGATAGACAACAGGATCATTAGTCTACTATACATCTCTACAAATCAGCAAATAGTAGACATCCTCACTAAAGCTCTGCCAAGGAAGAATTTTGAAGAATTGAGTTCCAAGCTCAGCTTAATCAACCTTTACGCCTAGCTTGAGGGGAGTGTTGAAATACTCGGCTAGGAATTAGAGATCCCAGAATATTTGACAAAGTAGAATATGAATAAAGAGATTTGGAATAATTTCTAATATCTCTATTAGTTAGTTTCCTTTTATGTTTTGATTAGTTTCCTGTTTTTACTGATTTGTTTCTCTTTTCCCTTCGTTCCCCGATTTTGTTAGAATTAATAATTTATGTAATTAGCATTAGGGTAACCGGGTTCTTGATGTCTAAAAGGGGGCTGTATATACGTTTCCGATCAATGAGAAAATTATCATTCACCCCTAAATCTTCCAGAGTTGTTCTTTCCCTAAACGCTGCATTTTGATATTGTATCAGCTCGTAGCTACCCACAGGTTCTCGTAATAGGGAGATGAATGATCAATGATGTTTTTGAGGCTAATTTCTCAGTGTTTTTGTTCTCTAATATCCAAACTTGGATTGTATTGACGGTTGGGAACACGATTCCTTCCTTCCTTGAGATTTCCCACCTCAGATTTGAGACCTTCTAAAGCACCTCCCAAACACCATCACCTTCATTATATTAGGTTGCCATTGCCAAAGCCATGAAAGTATACATAATAGTACAATAAAGGGCAATATGAACAGCAAACTTGCTTAAGGCCTAACCTTATACAAGAAAAATGTAATGCAATACCTTCATTGTATGAGATATGTGCCCAACAGCTGATGACACACAAAATTTAAACAAATCAACAAATAGACAAAATAATAATAATAATTGAAAATCAATTAACCACATATCTAAAGCCAAAACAAAAAAACAGGGGGGGTTTGGGGAAATTCCTCCATATCTTACCTGTCAGGGACACACTTCCTCCAAGCAGCTCATAGAGTGATTCCACTAAGTCTTTGTAAAATGCCACAACACCTACAAGTAATTAACCAACAACCAAAAAATCATAATTGCCCATAGTTGATGAAACAACAAAAAGGAAACACCAAAATACTCAAAAAAAAAAAAAATTACAAACCTGGATTTCCAGGGATGAATACAACATGCAATGTAGGCTCATCAGCATGAATCTCCAATAGTTCAGTAACAAAACTACACAAGAAATGACAGACTAAAAAATTTAGAAAATGAAGAATCAAAGGAATTAAAACAAAACCAACTTCATATCTGCATAAACCCAGAAAAAAATAATTACAAAAAATGTACCTTGACACATTGGATAAACGGAAATTGGCATGCCTTTTGGTTCTAGACAGCAAAACTTCTTGACCCATCTCTCTAAAAACGCAATACGATCTATTCCTCGACCTTAAAAGAGAAAATCAAGAACTGGGTTTTGCTCTTCACTTGTCATATGTTAGCAACATATGCAAGAAAAACATTTTTGAGTTGTTTAGAATCGAGGAAAGTGAAAAGCTTGTAACTTGTAAGTAAGAATGATAAGAACTTACCTGAAATGGGTGTAATGGAAGGAGAGTCCAATGGGTCGGACAACAGAAGAAATAATACTGCGAATCAGCATTTATTTTTCTTTTATTAATAATCGCCCTCGTTGCTGTTATTGCTTTACGTGTTCTTTTAGCGTTTCGACCTGTCTTCGAAACGTTTCGTAATTTGGTCAGCTCTGGCCGAAGGCCCAAAGCCACGTAATCGTCCCATCCCATAACTCATTTGGTAGTGCAACTGTCAAACTGTAGAAAGCTTGTAAATAGTTTATTTATGAAATTAAATTAAGTAAATAATATATTTTAAAATTATTTAAAGTAAATAATAATTTACTTATAAATAACAGTATATTATATAAATATTTTATTTATGATTAATAAAAAAGATTTTCTTTCATGTAAATTTTTTTTTACGATTAGTAAAAAAGAATTTTTTCACATAAATAAATATTTTTATGACTTAAATTATTTTTTATTAGTCGTAAATAAAATATTTACATGGTAAATTATTATTAACTTTAAATAATTTTAAAATTTGACATCTACTTAATTTTATTTTAAAAATCTGCTATTTACTATATTTTATGCTAACTTTTATACGTTGTGGCCTGTGGACCATGACTATGACTTTCCAACCCATGAAAACTAGACCTGAGAAAATATGGCTTTTTATGGCTATATAAGTAAAGAAAAAATGGAGAATTTATCCTTGAGAGTGTATGAGTTTGGACCTTTATCCTATACTCTTGATAAATACTTTTTTATTAGTGTAATTATTTGATTAAAATAGTTATAAATTAAGAGTAAAGAGTAAAAATTCTGACTCATCACTTTCAATGGGTATTTACCGAGATTACCTTATAGTAAAAGAGTCCACAAATTGTGATATTTGGGCTTTTTAAGGCACCTCTTGTACTTTATAACAAGATCAAGACCGATTTAACATGTCTTGAAAATATTATGATATGGTATTGTCATTTCTATCTCTCAATCTTCAATTTGTGTGTGCCATTCTAAAAAAAATATGAGTAAGAAAATATGATATTAACTGACTCCCAAATCTTATTCTCAACTCTTATAAGTAAAGAGGTCAAAAAGTATTTAACACATGTATCACATTGCCAAAAGTAAACCCCACTAATTATCACATAGCTATTTGTACAATCACCAACAAGAAGTATACTTAATGTTGTTTAATACATTTATTTCAGTTAATAGCCTAATGAGTAGAGGAAGAAACATTGTGGTCCAAAAGTCTTTTGCTTCTTAGTCGCTCGATCTTGATCTTGATATTTGATCGTTGATCAAGGTTGCCACATGGTGAGCCACCCAAGTTGAGCCATCTTCAAAGCAACAGAAAAAGTGGCCATGGCCTTCTCTTTCTAGTGACAGGGCAATACCTGGGGCCTGCCTTGAAATCTGTAGCAAGAAGAAAAACACAACTAGTTAAACTACTTAAAATTCTAAAGCAAAAATGCATATTTAAAAAAAAAAAAAAAACACAACTATTCTACATAGAAATTATTATAATCACCATATATATGTATGTATGTATATATATATATATATATTTGTCCATGAATTTTTTTTCTTCATCAAGACCATGATTATCTCAAATATTTAGGTTAGAATTGTTCGTGTAAATATGAAAGTAGTGGACAACCCAAGCTCACACTAGTCCCATATGAAAAACTTATACGACTAATAATACTCTCTTGTGGCTCGCACACACGCACGTGGCATAGATAGTGGGGCTGTAAATCTTTAAAGAAAGCATATTTACTAGGGTTACGTTTAGTACGATAGTTTTAAAATTTACGAGACTCTGATTTAAACCCTTGTACTAAACACAACCTACGTGTTTTAAGTTTTCAAATTCAGATTTCCAACAACAATTTATAGACAAGTAGTACTCTCACTTGCGAGTGGCAGTTGGCTTTACTTGCTTACCTCTTCATAAAGTTTCAGCGGTCCCCAATGATCATCACTGCCAAACAAAAATGCAATTCTATCCTGCTTCTTTCTCATGAATGCCCAATCTGGCGTTTCTGCAAGCTACCATTTGACCCGAAAAAGTCGGTAAATGATCGGTTCGTATATTAGTTTTCCTACTAAACAAAGTGTTGCTGCAGCAATTTACATTTTTGTGGAGTACTTGAAGAAGAGAAGGTTAAACCAGTAATAGCATTCTCAAAGTTTAGGTGGTGAAATTGGCAGAATGCAAGAGCATGAATTCTAACAAATATTGGCCAGTCATTTCGTTACTTTGAATCATAGCTCAAATTTTTATTACAGTGTTTTCTTTTCACAAAAATTTAAATTTAATTTTTTTTGTTATAGTATTTTCTCTAACATAAATTCACTTTTTAATTCAGGTTCTCAACTTGAATAAGCGAAAAGAACGAGAGTTATACTCCATGATGATACAAAATGCAATTTCTACAAACTTTTTAGTTTACTGCATAAATTTCTTTCGAGAAGAAAGATCTTACTTTTTCGAATGCAGTATGTAAATGGAAGAGCAGGTTCCGCATTGTATGGTACTGCAATTCCCCACGAAAAAAATGTTAAATTCCGCGAGTGCATGGACACTAAAATACCTTTTTCACAATGACTTATAGAAAATCCTCACTAAGAGCGCGCAATTAAATAAGAAAATTGATTTACTTGCAATAAAAAAAAAAGTAAAGGCATGAGAAAATATAACCTTTTTTAAAAGTTTCGGTTTAATAATGGTTTGTTCTTTTGAGTGAAAAACTCAAAAAAAGGCAATTCGAGTTACAACTTTATTCGAGTTCATGTTCTTTTAAGTTTAAACTCGAGTTCAAGTTTCTCCTTCAACTCGAGTTCAGAAACTCGAACTCAAATTAATGAACAATATTTTTTCTATTCTTAAAAATGCTATAACTTTTTCGTTTTAATTCTGATTGAGATAATTTTTTTTCTATGCGTTGACAACGAAAAGATGAATAAAACCCGACCCAAACACGACCCGCAATAACCCGTGAATTAGGACTCGAAATTCACCCGCATTCCTGACCTGAAATCGACCCGAACCCGTAATAGATATGTCACTTTGTTAAACAATTTGAAGCACTAAAATTACATTAAAAACACTAAAATTACATTAAAAACAACATGAATCAGATATGTCTTCAAAATAACGTCTAACTACATACCAAAGTCCAATAAAATAATAAAGTTCAATCGGATAACCAACTCCAACTAAATAATAAAGCTAGAATTATCTTCCAAGTGTTCAAGAGTTAAGAGCAACCGAGTTTGAAGCTTGAGCATTATCATTCAAGCTAAGAGAAACTACATCCTTTGTCATCTCATTCAAATCCTCAAGTAATGCCTTATCATGATCACCTAAGTTAACATCCAACAAGATTTAAAAATAATAATTTTAGAAATAGCTATAATAAAATTTACTAAACTGATTCAAAAGATAAGTGTAAAATACTTTACCTTCATTTCCAAATAACCAGTCTTTAGTACAGAGAAGTGCTTCAACAGTTTCACTCTTAAGTGAGCTTCGAAATTGATCCAACACACGACCACCATTACTAAATGCTGCCTCTGATGCAACTGTTGATACCGGGATGCTTAAGATGTCACGAGCCATCATGGCAAGAATAGGATAGCGGAATTGATTTGACTTCCAAAATGCAAGAATATCTAAAGGTGCATTCCTATATAACCTAGGCTAACAAAAGTAAAGCTCTAATTGAGATTTTTGTGGAA